CCAGACTAGGTGAGATACTACCGTCCAAAAGTGTGGGATTAGTACGAGTTTTAAAAAATAACTTTATACCTTTGTTTTCAACATTGATAATAAGAAATGTTTCTTGAGCTGCAAATCAGCATAAATATAGGAATAAATTACATTTATGTAAAAATGTATTCAAATAGAAAACTTATTTTATGTTGTAATAATGTTTCACAATATTACAGTTTGTACTGTATTTTAATTAAATAAATGCTTCTTTCAAAAACAAAAAAATCGTACTTACACAATCACGTGCAAAACATCAGCAACAAATAATGTGGTGTATGAAAAATAGCACTACTTCCGATGTAAAGTCACATGAAATACAGTCCAAGGGGAGCTGCCTTGATTGTGCCAGTTGGTTTTTATTTAGCCCTGTTTATTGCATTAAACACTGGCTTTTGCTTATTTTTCTCACAGCTTCCAGGGCTGGATTTCAGAATCTCCCTTCATCTCCAGTCAGACAGCTGATAAAAGGACCCATATCTAGTGTTTCCTCTTAGTTTACAAAGCTGTAATGACTCCTATAGGATGCTGAGCTTCCACAGAAAAGCTCTGTGTTCTGATAGGAGCATTTTGGTTATGCATTATTTCTTTTTAATCTAACATTTCTACTTTTTGCTATATCAAAATGCATGTCATTTTTATATTAACCAGTAATTTGGATAAAAAGTATATACATTCATACTAGACGTACAGGTGCATAGTCTGCTCTTGCTTTCTCTATGTGGACAGTAATATAAATTGCTGATGAATATTGAATTGTCTTCAATGTCTGTGACTGTTTTGCTTAATGTTCTCGATTTAGTGAGGAAAAGGTTCGGGATGTGTACATGAAGCGCAAAGATGGACACTAGATGGCAGACTAGTTATTCAAAGCTCTACTTTTACACGTGTAGTTTTTAAAGACCGCTGTATAGCGTTTTGTTTTGTACAATTTTTAAGATTTATGAATATAATTAAATGCCTTGACATTTGCTTCAGACCTTTTTTCCAGTTGTCTTGTAAAATAAAACCGTTTTTAGCCCCCAAATGCTTTTAAATAGCCTTTAAATGGACCTGTATGTCTAATGGACTAAGAATGATATTCATTCATCCATCACTGGATTTTTTTCTTCTTCTGCCTGAATGGTAAAATTGAATAAATGGTTTGTGCTGGTGTCTTGTTTCCAGGACAAACATCGCAAGCTAGTATTTATATGCTTTAAGTCATCATTATTAGCTTAAAGAAAAGACAGTGGCCTTTGGGCTTTAGTCATGAGCTCTTTGAGGGCCTTTTAGCCGTCTATTATGTTCTTGTGTCCCGTGACCCCTTCCCCCACACTTCCAGCCCTTGTTCTCTATTCACCATCACATAGGGCTGCTGAGCAAGAAACCGGCTTAGAAGATTTTCCCAGTGATTTCTCCACTTCACATCTTCTCTGTTTATATCACATTTCCATGCCCACAAGACTAAACACGACCTGCTCTGAACTCCCATGGCATAATAACAGTATTTGAGTTTCAACAAAAAGATGTTCGCTCTCAATACTGCGTCCACTGTGATCAAAGAAATTGAAGACAGACGTTTTAACGATCCCAAAAGATAACCTTTAACCGTTTCAATCTCAACAGCTCGAAAACGAGGTAATTTTTCTCTCATGCACACGCGGGCTGATTAGACTTGGCTTGTATTTAGTTTTCTCTGTTAATGTAGGGATGGAGGTGGTGTAGCAGGAGAGTGAGGTTAAGCGTTAGAAGCACTGGGGGTGGCACAGCAAGAGGGATCGATTCTTATTTAGATGAAAATGAGGCTCAGCGCTTGTGGGCTGAGGGTGCATCTGCCTCAAACAGATTTAAGAATACCTATTCACAGTCAAGGGGGGAAAACTATTCTCGTGGCAAATACTTTTAAATTAAATGTCAATTGACAAAGATTAATGTATGCATGTGCTGTAGTAGTTGCCTACGTAGATACACTCTCAAAAATAAAGGTTCTTTATTGGCATCTGTGGTTCCATGAAGAACCTTTAACATCCATAGAACCTTTTAATTGGACGAAATGTTCTTTATCGTGGATATATATATATATATATGGTCCTTATATTTAAGGAGTAGTTCACCCAAAATGAAAATTTGCTGACGATTTACTCACCTTCAGGTCATCCAAGATGTTGATGAGTTGACCAGAAATGTAGCATCACATCACTTGCTCACCAGCGGATCCTCTGCCGTGAATGGGTGCCGTCAGAATAACATCTGATAAAAAACATCACAATAATCCACAAGTAATCCACACGACCTCAGTCCATCAATTAATGTTTTGAGAAGTGAAAAGCTGCGTGGTTGCAATAAACAAATCCATCAACACATTTTTAACTTCAAACCCTTTCTTCGGGGCTGAAATTTTTTGGGTGCACTGTTCCTTTAAATCATGCTCCATTTTCAGTAACTGGTTGAAATTGTTGTGATATTTGTAATAAGCAGAACAAATCTTCATTAATAAATTAAAATTCACATCTTATGCAAAATAGGCATTTGGTGTCTACTAGTTTTAGATTTATATATATAATTTTGTGGTTCATTTTACCACTGTGCTACAGGACCCCATTGTCCATCGTTTAGGAAATGAAAGGAGAAAGATGGAAAGAAATATAGATTTACAATTACTCAATCTCGCAGTGCGAAAGCAACGCTGTGATAACGAGTTCAGGTTACAGTTTGTGCTCTAATATTTTCATTCTCACTTCAGATTGATTAGTGCTAGATTGTAGCCGAGAGATGTGCTGCGCGTCAGCATAAACCAGGACCACTTTTGTCCTATTCCTCTCTGCGCACACATCATCAAACTCCCATTGAAATGCTCCAGGCTGAGTCTCTCCCCTCCACATATTCCAGCACCCATTCATCTGAGAAGCCTGTCTTTTCTTTCCGAGTGATGAACTACCACAAAACGTCCACGTTTGCAAAAAAATAAAACAAATGGGACTACTTATTTTTAATCTGAACTGTCCGTGCACTTGAAAAAAGACATTGATTTAAATAATTGATGTTATACTTAGCCATTTATATGGGGAAAAAAAACATGAAAATAATATTAATAATAACATTTTTGTTAGACAATTAAAGTTACTTTTACTTTGTAATCAAGTGAATACTGTGGAGCTTTTATGAACTTTATATATACATAATTACCAAAAAGGTTTAGAAAACATCATATATATATATATATATATATATATATATATACACACACACACACACATGTGTGTAGAATACATTTTTTTTTACTTTTTGGTAATTAATCTATTTTCTTATGCATAAAGTTATGCACACACTAGACAGGTTGTCATATTTTAAAGGTTTAGTTCACCAAAAAGTGTAAGAGTCTTTTACTCATCCTGATATTATTCCTAACCTGTATGACTTTTGTTCTTCTGCAGAACACAAAGATGATATTTTTAAAAAACAGCTCAGTGTTTTTGTCAATATAATAGAAGTCATTGGTTCAGTGTTGGGGAAAGCTACTTTTAAAAGTAATGCATTACAATATTGCGTTACTCCCTAAAAAACTAACTTGAAAAAGCAACTCAAATATTTCCTTCTAAATTAAAAAGTAATGCGTTACTTCACCAGTTACTTGAAAAAAAGTAATCAGAGTACGTAACTTCCAACACTGCATTGGTTACCAAAACGGTTTCATTATTAGCATTCTTCAAAATATCTTCTTTTGTGCTCCACATTTCCAGTCCTGTGGCCCAGTGGTAAAATGAACCAAAAAAATTCTATATTTAAATGTAAACAGTAGTAGAGACACCAAATGTCTAATCTGAATACAACTTTCTTTTGTGGCACACGAAAAAACTATTTTTTTAAGAGCAAAAATAAATTCAATTTTCATTTTTTTTTAATATACCTGTAAATGACCAAAAGAGTTCATAACAGCTCCTCAGCTAAATATTATAATGTGCAACGTAAATACACCAGTAGCTTGCAATTTACCCAAAGACATGTTATAAAGCTGAGAGTTCTTGTTATTTGTCCAGAACAGGAAGCAAAGCACCATTATCAGACATTTTGAATGTTAGGCAGGTAGGCTCGATTTGCATCTTCTAGGTATTTAATATTTTGTGAAATGATATTAACAGAAATAGTTTTGGTCACAAGGGTTCATTGTGCTTCGTAAAATACAAATACATCCACTGAAACGCCGATAATAGAATCTGGACAATTGTCACTGCACTTAAACCACCCTTACATAAACTTGCCATGGTTTTACTTCAGTAGCACTGCAATTATTAGCAGGCCTGTTAAAGGGTTCATTCTTAACAACCCATTAGGGGAGTGAGTGAATCCATTTCCAATCGTAATTATGGCTTCTAAATACAACAGCTTGTGTGAACCATAGTTACGCTGATCGAAGCACAGCAATGAGGCGCCGTTCATTGTTTTACCTTTGGTTACCATGGTCTTGCACAAATACTTCGGTTCAGCTATGGTTACTAAACAAAAGCCACTTCCACGAAAACCCTGCGTGCGAGGTGTTTGACAGAGACTCTCAAGTTGTTTACAAACGTGCGAGGCGTGCGCGTTCAGCAGCGGCTCTTTTGTGCGCGATGATGACGCACGGGCTCGTGTGTAGCAGCGTGAACGCGGAGTCAGAGGGGGAGAAAGAGCCGCCGAGGAGGGCAGAAACACAAGAGAGGGGCAAGTCTTTCTACGATAGCACCGCGGCTTGGGAGCAAACCAACTGAGTCGAGTTGGCTGGCATGGAGCTGAGCGTTGCCATTCTGAACCGTTTCGAGCCGTCCACCTAAGCCGGGGCATT